GGGGGGGAGGCTGGAGGTCCCTGAACCGAAGCGTGGGTGGACGCCCTGCCACCAGCCCAGACCCGTGGAAAGAGGTTAAAAACGCGGTAGAGTGGGGAAAGTGTGTCCTCCTGAGGACCCCGGCCTCACACGCCTGTGGATGGAGGAGGCCGGCGCTGGAGGAGGCCGCGGCCAGGGCTGCTCCCTGGGGATGGGTCTGGGGTCAAACGGTAGGAGTGAAGAGCAGTGCTGAAGGGCCGGGTTTCACAAAAGGAGTTGAACTGAGCCCCACAGAGTAATAATCTTGAGAAGAGGGTGGCGAACGAGGTGGTGGTTTCCGCTGATCGTCCTAACTTCTTCAGGACAACAGCACCGTGACGGACTGCAGATCTACCTCCTGGTACTCACGAGCCGGGGAAAGCGCTGCACATCGGGGAAATGCAGTGCTGATAAACATATGATAGATAATCCTAACTTTACATACATGCTGAAGACGTTTGAACTGATGATTACCACTCATGAAAGAAACAATTAAATTTAAGCTGATGCTTTCAAACCTCTGCTCTAAGTTCACTGGCAGTTCACAAAAGGGAAAAGAAAACGAGTTTAGACGGGATTGGAAGAGGAATACAGAACAAAGCAGGAATTAGAAGTGTCACATTTACCCTAAAAAAACCCAAACGTGTGCAGTTCTGATCTCCCCTGCTCCAGAACAGATTGGGTAGAGTTAAAATGGGATACAGAAAAGCAGCGTCAAGGATATGAACTAGCTTCAACAGAAGGAAATGCTGAAGAAGAGACCTTCAGAGGGGGTTTTATTAAAGAGGTAGGCAGTAAAATTGTAGGTAGTAAAAAGGAGGTGAGCATGACTAATGGAGGAGGTCAAATAGAAAAAATCAAATCAGGCACTTAATCACAGGGAAACTGGGGAACTAATTGCCATGGGATGTTTTGGGTACCAAAACACTACTTGGCTGGGGGGACCAGAGATTAGCTATATTCACAAAGAATATAGCTCTTAAAGGTGGCACCTTTGTCACTGCTAGCCCTCGAACTGTGCACTAGCGGAAGCTCAAGAGTTCATACCCGAGATGTACCTGGGTTCTGCAGTTAGCTATGACTGGAGGCAGACTACACGGACTTTTTTTCTCCCTAGCCTAGCATAACCATTCTTACAGTTTTAGAACAAGAATCTGCTATGAACCAAAAGGGGAAGGAGAGCAAGGAGCTGGGAAAGGAAGAGTATGGTAATCTCTCTCTGCTTGCATCCTGTCCCTGGGTCACCAGCAGTGACAGAAGAAGAAAATGACATTCCTCTAACTTGGCTGCCTTCAGAGCAAGAAAGCAGTGAGATTGAGCACCTGCATATTTCGTGGCCTTAAATACATTATCTTAGAGTTGTCGTAAGATTTCTTAGCAAGAAGGTACAAAACCAAACCCCTTCTGTAACTGAAATCATCCTTATTGCTTTGGTTTACAGCGCAGCCCCAAACCACCAAGGCAAGTGAAAGTGGAGTAAGTTTTGGAAAGGGGACAAAATTGAATAAACTGATGGGAAAATGTTCCTATTTGTAAACCGAAAGCAAAATCACTCTGCTCTTCCGCATAGCTGAAGCGAGGAAAAAGATGTTAGACTGACTAGCTTAAATATTTTGGGTGGGGTTGCTAACAGAGTTCCCCACTTCAAATTAAAGCAGACAGGTAAAACAGGAAACAGGACAAGGAAAAATTATGATAAGGAGAGATTAGAAGATATATTTTTGCCTCTTTTTCAGCAGACTGGCTGATTATTTCTCTCAGTGTCTGCCTGCCTTTGGCGGATTTAGCACATTTATCATTATTCTGAGTCAGTAGCAACAGCAGGAAGGAGCAGAACTTTTGTCAGCGTTGTCATCAAAGCTAAAATCCTGCACCATAGAAGGATGTCGCTTTACCCCAGGGATTAATGGCCTGCAATTCTAGGGAACTCATGCCGCCGTCTTCCCAAGAGGCTTTGCATTTTTATTTCCTCAGTAATAGCTTATTCTCTTAAGAATTATGTAATGGTTGCTCAGTGTAAACAGCCAAAACTTCAGTAAAGCGTACCGAACGCAAACCTGAACAAGAAATCAAGAAAAAACATTTCTTCTTCACAAAAACATTTTCTCAGCATTCCCGAGATTGTCTTTTGCATTACTTCAATGAAACAATTTAAGGCTTCTCCTCTCTCCCTGTGCAGCAGGAGCGCAAGAAGACTACGACTACCTGACGGTGGGGTTTTTATTGTATCATCCGTAAGTCAGGTCAGAGCCAGCAGCATGCACTCCATAACTGAAATGCAGAGACTGAGTCCCTAAAACTACAAAGCCCCTGAAACTAAAGCCCAGAAACACAGGGCCCTTTTAAGCCTTTCCTTCAGTACTTTGAAGCTGAGCCCGTAGCTGCAAAACAGATGACTTTTTAAAGACAGAATGGCGTTTTTCATCAGCATCCAGAGTGCTGCATGCTCCCAGCAAAGCCGTGGCCTGCACCTTTCAGTGCCTCACTACTCATGCCAGGTCACGCGAGACACCGTCTTACAGCAGGTGCAGCAGGAGGTACAGCACGAAGGAAACAGCTTCGTAGCTCTCCGGCAGCGAATGCACTTGACTCGCCGAGCAAGCCCGACGGTGAGAAGAGAGGTAATGGTCCCTTTAGCGCGCTCCGTAGATCGGCCTCTGAACTCTTCGTGCCTTAGACTTAATGCAGGGGCTCCCCAGAACGACTTATTCCGGGGAACACTGGAAGTTTCCTCTCGCTTGGAACGGATCAATAGTAATGAAATGCTTTTTAGTGAGAAATGTAGTAGCTCAGTCAAAAGCCGTTCGACTGCACAGGATTTACATGTAACATTGTCAGCTGACAACAGCGCCCAGCCTTTTCAGCCAGCCCTACTGCTGCTTCCTCTCTACCTCTTTTCATGGACGCTTTTATCTCCCCCTCCAGCCTTCACTCAACACCTGCCTTGCCACCCTTCCAGCCTGACCTACAGTATTCACTCTTTCTTCCCCAAACTACAATGCCGTGGCTCTGAAGAGAGGGGTGAGGAGCG